CAAACACCAAATGGAAAGGCACACAAGGATTCCGCATGCCGCATAGGTGATCATCTGTTCACGTGGAAAAAGTGGTTGATCAGAAACATAGCGCATGGCAACAAGAGTTCTGCGAAAATGGTCAATTTGCTTGACCAAATCATCTTCCAGAAGCAAGGGTTCATCATCACTCAGCACTTCATGAAGCAAAGGCTGCCCGAACCTCAGCCGGTGACCGATTAAGAAGTCGGTCAACAGGGGTGGCAGGCTCGTCTGTGGATGTGTCATGACGAACATATGGATGCGCAGCAATGAACTTAGTTAGGGCCACCAAATATTGGCAAAACGAAAAATGAAATGTCAGTTGAGTCTCTGCATATTCACGAAAACTGTTGACAACACTTCGTTCATCTGTTGAAGCATTTTTCCATACAGCCTTAGCTGCAAGGTCTGCCTGGGAGTTGCCTAAAGTGAAACAGCGCATGAGGATCTTCTTCAAGCCGGGGGCAAACATGACTTTTGACTTTGATCAGGCTGATCTGGGCAGCTGACCTGTGACCAACCGCTGCATAAATACGGCAAACCAAATCAAAATTTGGTTTAAACAAAAAACCATCAAGTCCTTCTTTTCAATGACACAGTTTACAACATGGATCGTGTATGTGGAATCCGTGACAAGGCGAAGTCGTTGGGCGGATTGCAACGCACGGAGCGCTGCAACAAGTTCCGCCCTGTCATTGATTGGACTGACACCCTGCGACACGACCGGAAAACGAGTGCATTAGGGGTTCTGGAAGTTCATGATGAGACGAATACTTGTCAGCAAAAACGATCCTGGCAGAATCATCTGTAGCTCTGTCAACCACCATCGCCCACGCTGCAAAAGACTGCAACGGGATTGACGGCGCGACAGACGAACCATCAACAAAAATGACATATGCGCAAATATCCGGAAGCCTTTCAATATGAATATCAAGATCGAAATCCGAAAAAGTAGCACAAATTGTTTGCCACCTACAATGGTCAGGATGAACTGCTATATAACAAGATCCAATGTGGTGCACGCGCAGTGACCCAATTCGAAGTGTCAGTGAAACCTTCACGGACCTGCGCAAAGTCAGCGCATTCGAGAATGCGGTGTTCGAGGTTGTCCGGATGGCCACAGCGGGTGCAAATTCCCTGATTATCACGCCAATGTTTAGCTTTATCTTCAGTTGTCCAAGCACTCGAAACATATTTAGTTAATATGCGAAAATCAACTGTCGAAAATTTGGCAAATTACGATGCGTGAGTACAAGGTCCGGTTGCGGCATGTCTTGGCAACCCTTGCGGTGGGAAATCATGCTTAGTGCGTGAAGACCCCACGCCTCATGCATTTGTGAAAGAGTTGCCTCAAAACAAGACCCAAGGATGGACAATGTCACGTCCATATGTGTACACACAATTCCCCCCGGCAGCACCTTCCAACCAAGGCGATGGAACCATCGTCGGAGACAGCCAACAGGTCCAAACACTTGATCACAGGCTGGAGAAGCAATTCCCAACATGGAATTCAAGGCGTCCTGAGATTCTGGGTTATGGGCCAAAAAATGCCTAACTGCTCGGAAAGACTGACAAATGGCTTGAACCTCCGGATCTTGGATGTGGAGACATGTTAGTGCGCACGTAAGCTGATCGGACCTATTAGGCATGTCGTTGATTTGGACATCAGCTATCTGTGACCGAATTCGTTGGAAGCGCTGAAAACCAAGCGGATATGTTTCAATGCCATACAAACCCGCCGACAGTGCACTGGAACGAATGGCCTGCCAAAGCTGATGAACATCCAATGGCAAATGTCGGAGCCGAGAGATCCTGTCAATGGCTTCCTGGACCCTCGTTTTCATGGGTCCCAGATGGAGGCCCCTACGGTAGCGCATGACAGCACCTAAGTCCTTGTGAGCTGAAACACAGGCAAGCTGACCTTTATGAGCACACAGTCGAACCACGCTATCAAGATGTGCTTTTGGAATTTGAGAACTAGTCCAAAACCAAGACTTCCTGATGTCAATGAGCATCCAAAAAGCATCAAGGTAATCCAACATGAGTTGGATTGCCTTCTTCAATTAGCAAGATCATCGGTTACCAGCTCCCAGTTGTCTGCATACATGTAGGGAGTGATGTCCGGATATTGTTGGATCCAGTCACACCAACTGAGGCAGGTAAGGACCATGGCAGGGACACTGAGTGGATCACCTTCCGGGATACCCGTAGAACAACCCCGACAGGACGAGTCATGGTTGTTGATCGAGACCGATCTCTTGAGTGACTGGAGGAGGCGAAGCCAGGCATAGGCTTCTGGGCTTGCGCTTTGCCGAGGGGCGGCGTTCCCCTCTGGTGGTGTTCCAAACACAATCAAAACTGCAGGACAAGTTGAGGCACCTTAAGCTGAGCAACGTCCGCATGCATCTGGGCAGTACCTGTGGACCATGAGTGTCGCAGGCAGGAATGGACATGATTGGATGGCGTTCGAAACATGTACACTGGTTGTGGTAAAAAAGGAATCAGTTAAAGGCAAAGTCAAAATGATTGAATTAAGAGCAAAGTCTGCGCATGAAGGCAAATTAGTGACAATCCAACCAACAACGTTCCTCGCACCAATCCTCTTCGGATATGCACACCAAACAAGGACCCCTAGGCACGAGAAAATGGGACACCTGTGATTGAGTCACAGGTTCTCCTGATCGGACATGTCTGGTGACGCGTTGGGCGTCTTCTTTCCTCCAGTTCGCTATTACACCCTGCGATCTGATTTCGGAGTCTTGAGTTGCTTGGTCAACGTTTCTCTGAGCAGTTGGAACTGTTCATTGGATGCTCGTTGCGATGCCTCAATTGAGGCCTGCTGGATCGCAAAGCCCTGGGCCTGGTTCTTATTACTCTCTTCAACTGCAGTCTGGAGAGGTCCGATTTTCTGGTCATGCTTCTGGATTTGCTGTACTGCGTTTTTGGACGCTTCCTCAATTTCTTGGATCTTCTTAGACATGGCGTCAATCTTGGCATCTTGATCCTTCAAACGCGAAGTTGTAGGACCATCCATGGGCTCCAATTTGGGGCCGCTTTCTGTCGAAGTCCTAGCAAAAGGATTTGGTTGAGGAAGTCCCTGATTGACGTACCGCTTGGACCATGCATCAGTCGATGAGGTTGACTGATCTGCCACCACTGACTTCTTGCTCACCTTTCCCACAAGGATGGCTGGAGCACGCTTCTGGTCATGTTGCCCAGTTTCGATGAGCATGACCACATTGTCATTGCACTTGCACTGGCGTGCCGGAGGGGCATCTGCAGCTCCGATCAACCATATGCGCTGCGGTTGACTTTCTTGATTGCTTTAGCCGCCCAGCTAAGTTCACCAATCCATTGGTTCAATTCGGCTGCAGTCAAAGACTGAGGCATATTCTGAGCTCTGAACAACTTCTTCACATGCAAATGTGGAGGCATCTTCTGTCCTGGGTGCAGTGTGGACCAGGAGTCTGGGAAGTTGTCATGTGCGACTTGAATCGAACGCCAAAAGTTAAGTTATTCCGGACAATGACAAATGTAGTTGCAAGGTCCAAGGCTTGGACTTCAGTGTCTCTTTTGGATCCACTTGTCCAAATTATTGCATAGTGCGAGTTGAGCATGCGGCTGGTCTCGTCCTTGGGTGAGGCGTATACCGCATTGTATCCGGATCGCTGAAGGAGTTTCGTGAGCAAATCTGCCTTCACTCGAAAATGGACTTGGATGGATGGTCTCGGTAAGAGTGCCCCCAAACTGAGAGAATACCGCCTCGAATCTCTTCATCAAACTTGGAGAGCATGGTTTTGGCTGCCGAACGAACAAAAGACTGCCAATCTTGGTCATTCCAATCATCCTTGTATACTGCTTATGCCACAATCTCTGATTTGACGCAGTGTACGGATCCACTCGGAATCTGTCTCTGCGTGATGAACTTCTCGCCAAACTGAATGATCCATCCTTGAGCTGGAAAGACTGTGCCTCAATGCGAATGTCATCAAGTCGAAGTTTGGCTGTCGGCTGCTTGGATTTGACCATCTTCTGGATGCGGGTTGCGGCCCTGTGCGGAGTCCGTGTGGCCGCCTCCAGATCGAATCCCGCCTTCATGGAAAGTTCACATAATGCCAACCACCTGGCTTTGTGATCTTTGATGCCCAATGTTTTGCGGATCAATGGTGCATTGCGCTTGTCGGTTACTGCTGCGATGCACGGCAAGATGCTTGAAAAGGAGAGATAGTGTGATGACAAGGTGGCCATCAACTCATTCTTGACCTCCTCCATCTTTGCATCTTTGAGCTCTTGACGAGCACCTCCCAAAATGGAGAGAGTACACTGCAATTTCACTGTCCCAGCGTCCGACAATTGTTGGAGCTCCCACCAAAAAAAGGGGTTGAGATGTCGGCCTCTATGGATCCATCTTAAACCATCCCGGAATCCAAACACCCGAAGGTGAGTCATGCAGCAGGAATGAATCCGCTCAAGACTGGTCGACTTGGCAATAATACCAGACCACAAAGATTGGCCTCTCAACCGGAAGGACAAATGTCGAGTTCTAGCATTCACCTTTTCAGGGCTCTAGCGTTCACATTTTGAGGGCTCCACGATTTCAAGGTTCCAGGGTTCCAGGGTTCCGGTTCCGGATTTTGGGCTCTGCAGTCGGAGGCGGCACCACTCCCAGACCTAGAGATTGAAACCCAACAGTCATACTGCTGTTGGGAATTAATGTAATGTAATGTAATGGAGTGGAATGTAATGTAATGGTATGTATGTACGTATGAATGTATGCATGTATGCATGCATGTATATATATATGTATATTTTTCTGCATACTAAGTCTGGATGTCCAAATTTCACTGACGAAGCGGAGGGGCAATCCGCACAGACATGTGACAGTGCTACCACGTTTCCGAACTTGTGTTTGTTGAACACTTTGGATGGTTCCTCCATGGGCAAGCAGGTACTCAGCGAGTAGGTGAATCAAATCTGAGGTTATTGAAGGGAACCCTACAGACGACGACATTCTCGTCAAGGAAGTATCATCTTGCATTCAGTACTCATCAAGTGGGTTCCTATGTTTGCTGTATCAAGGAGCCTGCCGCGACTTCTGCCCGGCCAGAGCTCACAGTGGATCAGTGTGCTGCAGTCATAGGAATGCGCCATAAGATTGGTCAAGCGTTGCGTGATGTATTTTTTGCTAGATCGGAGATGCTGTCAGCTTGAAGAGCGAGCTATGGACCTGGCATGCCACAGGTACAAATCACTGGTTGAACAAGTCTATTCCAAGAAGAACCCATCGAAGCTGGAGGAGCGGATTTAACTCACTAGGCACTTTGGAGAAATGACTCTGGACCACAGACAAGGCATACAATATTCTCTTGATTTGATTCTGATAGAACACAGTGGCACTGCCAGCACCAGAACTACAAATACAACTACAAGACCTGTTTTCCAGTCCGTGATAGTCCGTGCATGTTTATGTGATATATATATATATATGTGTGTGTGTTTTTTGTGTGAACTCACAAGCTCAGGACTTGCCTGGTTTGTTCGTCAAGTACCAGGCATGGTTTCTCAATCATTGGAATTCCAGTGCTTCAGCTTCGTTAGAGCACACGTGCACCTGCTATCACGTATACAATGACCTGAGTGACCCGAGATCAAAAAGCCAAACCTGGCATTACCTGGTTTCAGGGCCGTGAGCGGGAGCTCTTTGACCAGGTTTGTGACAAGTACAAGGCCAGCTGTAGTGCTATTCTTATAGGAACACATCAACCAGTCAAGTCAATTTGTATTTTAGCAGAACATTTATGCAATTGATGCAATTTGTGTGTTTTTATTAGTGTGATTTTGGGCCGTGCTTCAGGCAAGCTTCGAGGAGCTTGTTGGAGGACACATGGTGAACTGCTGTGTTTATGATTTGGAGGAGGCAATGTGTCACTCACATGTGGACAGACTCTGCCAGAGCAGAAGCTGACATGGAATTCCAAGTGGAGTGTTTCCCAGTTGTGGCAAATGTCTATAGCGGAAAAATAAAGTGGAAAAGCTGATGAACAATGGGGCCGGCATTGCCGCATTGCTCATGCAATGCACCAGGCAAGAGGCCTCCAGACCATTCCAGACCTGGGTTCGAGCTTTTTGCACAGCTCTACAGCTCATCCAGGTTCTTTAGCATGCTCTAGCCGACCATCAGACCATCATTGTTCTCTTGCTCACCACAAGCGATCGCTTTCAGGTTGAAGGTTCAGTCAAAATGTGCTCACATGTTTGCTGAAAGGTGTGGGACTTCTTCACAGTGTTGCTTTTGGTGAACAAATGGCGAGACGTCCGTTCAGAGACCAGTTCAATCGAATTTACAGAGCGTCTTGCTCTTACTCTTTAGTCTTGTAAGGGCTTTGCAGGCGCTAGCAGCAGGCCTGTTGGAAAATTGCGCGTTGAGGCCTGTCAATTGCGCGCTTCGATTCATTCTGCTGTTGCAGCAACGGTTCCGCCACATTTGCCTACTCTGCCAACGAACTGTTACGTGCTTACTACAACTCCAGCTGAGATCAGCAGGGGTATTGTGTGCTTCTGTTGCTGCTGCCAACAGTTCTTTCGACGCCCACGAGGTTTTTCCAGGACATCTAGAGTCGTGGCATGGTCGGCAAATATTTGCTTGATACGTTGTTCCCCAAACAGGTTTACCTGTGAGGGGTTCTTACTCCTTTTAAAGGGGTGCGTGCTCGGGCCGGATGATTTTGAGTTTGTCTCCGGGCTTGTGTTCCTGGCCGCATGATTTCACCCTTGTCTCCCACTTGTCTCCCACTTGTAAACGGAGCCTATTCCTCATGCACCACAAGCGGACGCAAACAACCCAGGCGACCAGTGACTTTCAAAGAGTTTTTGAACATTTTTACATCTTTGAACAGTCAGTGGATATGAACAAGCACTGCCAAAAAAAGTTTAAACGAAATGGCCAAATCAATTTTTTTGCCCTTGCACACACACGCAGTTGAAATCTGGAGCTAAATGAGGCTGGATTTGAAGCTTTTCAAAGAGCTCCAGATTTGGTGGCAGCTTGCTTGGACGACCCGAAGATGAAGCCACCTAAGCCCTTCATAGTCTTGAAGGATTTTCCTTATTTCGCAGAGATCCTCGCAGATCCTCGTTTCGTTTTGAGTCACCACAAGCTTCTTTCGAGTTGCTTTGCATCGAAATACACTATTTTCACATATTTTCACCACAAGCGTTGCATTGCTCGATTTGCTGTTTAGGTTGGCAGCTACTTTCGCGCGGATGATCAACGAAGCAATCACACACTCTTACGTCAAGTGTTGTGACCTATGGCAAACACAGGTCAATGCAGTACATGGCTAAGCCAAAGAAGGCAACTACGTAGGAAGGAAAAAGCCAAGCGCAGTGTCCGTGCTCTGAGGAAATCTTCATTTTGATTGGGTCTGCGCATTCGTGTTTACAAGTGGGGCAACATATGTCACAACCTGGATCCATAAATTTCATGTTTTAGCCCTTGTACGGCGTCCCATTGTAAAGTCAATGAAAAACATAATTTTAATGCTTTCCCTTTGAATCTTGTATGTGCGTCTACATGGTGGACTATAGTTTTCTTCCTCTAGGAAATACTGCTGGCCATGTTGTTCGGAGATCTCATTTTTGAACATTGCTCTGTTTGGGGCCTACGCTGGTATAATTAATTTTTGTATCCAGGCCCAGCTTTTGATGAGCTCTCCCTCAAGTTCGCGCCGTTTGGGAAGGCCTACCTGCTTCTCCCTGGAGCGTTCTTGAGAAGTTCACTTCTGAAATACTCTCCGTGATTCAGGCTAACTCGGTATCACAATATTTTCTTGTGTTCTCATCTCTTCTCGGTTTTGTGCAAGAGCTGACGGCCAAACAAACGCCTTGGCCCAGCAGCGGCTTTCTTTGTCCAAGAGCACCGGAGCAAGCGAGGGATTTCATTTCATGGCTTCGGAGCCCTGCTCGCTGCTCGACAGTCTTTCTGCATAGCAACGCAGCCAAGACAAGTGCCATTTATACATATATATATAACATTATATATATATATATACATATAAGTATACACACATAGTTCCCCAAACAGGTTTACTTGTGAGGGGTTCTTACTCCTTTGACAGGGGTGCAGTACCGGGCCGCATGATATTACATTTGTCTCCGGGCTTGCGTTCCTGCCACACTGTGGTTGCTGTGGCCGCATTACTTTACACTTGTCTCCCATTTGTCTCCCACTGTCTCCTGGCCGCGTGAGTTTACATTTGTCTCCCACTTGTCTCCACTCGCTTGTGGGTGCTCTGGCCGCATGATTTTACACTTGTCTCCCACTGTCTCCAGTCCGTTCTAGGTGCGCTGGCCGCATGATTTTACATTTGTCCAATCTCCTGTGGGTGCTTTGGCCGCATTGTTTGAACACTTGTTTGCCATTTGTCTCCCACTGTCTCCAGTTCACTACGGGTGTTTTGGCCCGCATGACTTTACACTTGTCTCCCACTGTCTCCAGTCCCTTGTGGGTGCTGGCCGCATGATTTTGCATTTGTCTCTCGCTTGTCTCCCACTGTCTCCAGTCCCTGGTGGGTGCTCTGGCCGCATGACTTTGCATTTGTCCCCCACTTGTCTCGCTGCTTCTTGTGGGTGCTCTGGCGCATGATTTTACATTTGTCTCCCACGTGTCCCACTGTCTCCAGTCCCTTGTGTGCTCTGGCCGCATAGCCCCACTTGTCTCCCACTGTCCCCAGTCCCTTGTGGGTGCGCTGGCCGCGTGATTGGCCGCATGATTTTACATTTGGCTTCCACTTGTATCCCACTGTCTCCACTCGCTTGTGGCCGCATGATTTTACATGTGTCTCCCACTCTCTCCACTCCCTTGTGGGTGCTCCGGCCGCATGATTTTACACCTGTCTCCCACTGTCTCCAGTCCCTTGTCAGTGCTGGCCGCGTGATTTTACATTTGTCTCCCCCTGTTTGCAGTCTCTTGTGGGCGCTTTGGCCGCATGATTTTACACTTGTCTCCCATTTGTCTCTCACTGTCTCCAGTCCTTTGTGGGTGCTCTGGTCGCATTAAACCAGCGTAGACCCCAAACAGTTTGCGCGTTCATGAAGTAAGCCACAGAGACGAACAGTCAAACAGTCAACGGCTCAAACGGTTCCATCTTGCGGTGATCAACTCGGACCTTCTGGGTTTGCTTCAGCGCTTGGCTAAATTGGCTGAAGGTCGGAACTGACAATTCAGACGAAAACCAAAAAAACCTACTGAGTATGCTGAGTTGCACTGATATGTGGTTTTATCATGTTTTGCTTGGCTAAAAGATGCAAAAAAAATTCAACCCAAGGTGAGACAAGCAGGGAGACAAGAAGGGAGACAAATGAAGAAACAAGGGAGACAAGCAGGGGGACAAGTGGAGACAAGCGTAGCTTGGGGAATGATGTCAAATCACCGGCAGAAACTCATGCGCGATGTTTTTACAGCTAGTGGTCTTAAACACTCTAAGAAGAGCATGGCATTGAAAGAGAAGAAGACTCCAGGGCGCCGACGCAACTTTCGGTGGATTGTGGCGTTAAAGATTCAGCAAGGGATTGCTTGTGCTGTTCACAAAGTGAGACGCCGCGGCAATGATTTGGTGCCTGACGTTTACATTGCCCATATCAATTCACAAAATGAGTTTGGACTTGGACCAAACAAACTGTTTAGGGGTCAACGCTGGTATAACTTAAACAGGAGCAGCTGGCAGCACCAATGGAGTGCTGCACTTGGAGCCGAGAATGATGAGAAGCGTTTGCAATTCCTAGAGACAAGTTTCCGAAAGCTTGTTCGCAAGGTTCCAAGTCAATCCGAGGGCACACCCTCTGAGTCATCGACTGAGAGCGAACAGCTTCTGGCATCACTGGACACCAAAGACATGAGGACTAGCGTGATGCCAGAGCTCTCCGCGAGGCAGTGTGGAGCTTGGTGCATCCAAATCATTTGTACCTTGTGGAAGTCTATTCAGCAATTAGGGCTACAATCTATTTGATTTTGATAGAAGTGCATCGTTACGAAGCAGCTATCAGCTATGATATTGGCGACATGATTGGCTCTCCAACCGAGGTACGCCATTCTAGTGCAAGCAATCTATGAAAAGAAACCCACTTGCAAGCAGACCTAGGAAACCCTGCATGCCTTCTTTTTGTGCCTTTGCCTGTTGAAACGTTCAAACAAGGAAGAATCCCACAAAGCTGGCAGATTTGCCTCGGCTGCTGGAGCGGTACAGGCACGAACAGCTGCGAGCCCTACACTACTTTGTGCATTGTCATGCAAAATCGTAAAAATATATATAATTATATATATATATCATGACTGCTTCAGGGGGATGGAGAAGGAGTTCTACCAGCAAGTCTGTGGGAAATACCAAGTGCACCCAATGAACTTCTACAAGGAGCAGAGCTCGGCAGGTTGCATACATTATTCAATATTACATCTCTTGGCGAGGAGGGTGCAGCATTGCTTGTAGAGATTTGAAGGCTGATGAAGGCTCGAAGTGTTCGAAGAGTTGCCAGCCTGATCTCAAACCCATTGTGGCCCATATCATTAAATATGCATCTCAAATTGTAAGTTCCCAGAGCTCAAAATGTGTTTGTTCTTTGTTTATGCTTAGTTTCCAGTCTCAAAAGGTGCTTGTGGCTGCTGTAGCTGCTTGCAACTGAGAGTCAGGTGTTGACAGTCTTTTTTGTTGCACTGAGCAACATTCACAATATGTCATATGTCAAACATACAATTTGTCAAGTGACCTTACCACAACGATTTCAATTATCATACAATGCGGTTGTCCAGTGCGACAATTTCTGCACCTTGTGCAATTGTTTTGCGGACGCTAAGAGCGAAATCGTTTCACCCGTGAATATATGTATATAGACCACTATGCAAAGTGATCGCTCAAGGTTCAAACATATGTCGAGCTTGGCAATAGTGATATCTCTCTTTCTTACAAATCAATGCCCATATGCCAAAGCTTGCACAGATGGCAGTCAGCCAAGCAGCCCACTGAAAGATGCAGCGTTGTGGTCAGTTGGGCCCCTCCACTGCCTTGAACGTTCTGAATCAAGCTCCTGACAAACAGTTGATGAACAGAGCACAACAGGATCAGAGATTAACTCTTTCATTCGGCAATGGAAGCTAGTAGTGCATGATTGCGGCGGACCAAGTTCTTGCAATCCAGTTTTTCAGCCTTTTGATGACTTGATTCTAGAAGCTGCAAGGCTGAAGGCGTTTCTTGACACTAAGATAATTTTATTGTAAGTCCAAGGGTTTCGCGCCTAGCTGAATCCACCCACTCAAGAATCCATCCTTTATCCTTCCAAATCCAATGTGGAACTTGCCTGGGATTTCACACTTTATTCAGCTTCACCCCCAAAGTGCAAATGTCAGGCAGTATATACAGTAGAAAAAGTGAGCAAAAGCTATATAAGTGTTCTCAAAACCTCTCAACAGCGAATTGATGAAAGCCACAGAAAGACTTCAAGCATGAAGCTCCTCTCGAATTAATTTCAATCAGCAGTGCAATGCCTCCAAGTTGACTCCACCCCATTTAGGGTCAGTGCTCCCCGGAATGTGAGACAGAAGGACAATCAAGGCTCCAAAAGTTCATATGTGAAAGGTGGTTAACAATTATATAGTTATTGTAAATTGTTACTAAGAAGAACCGCCGCCAATCTTTAAGTATGATTTAATACCAAAACGGTGCAGAACATTTGTTTGTCCTGAACGGCCTTCAAAGCAATAGCTAGGCATAGTTTCCTGAAACTTCAAGAAGCCTCAAAGGCAGCTGCAGCATTGGGGCACACTTTCAGAAACATCCAAATGTAGAATCTGAATCCAAAAGTGGCTTGATGCTCCAAACCGTATTTAACATTTGGAAGTCCAGGCTCTCCGGATCACCATAGTGTACAGCCGTCCCGTCCGCTTTCACACTCAATATTACTTGCGTTCACAGCATATAACACGAAGTCCATCGTTGTAGAGTATGAAGGGTTTGTTCCACTTTGAAGGCGTTGAGAGTGGCTTGTTTACCACCGTTAAAGTCTTGAGAAGGTACTGTGGGATGCCCAACCCTTTTTCGGTGATGGCAAACACTATATAGTCAACTGTGAGTTGGCAAGGCAACATTCCTTGACACTCGTCATCGGCCTGATATTTGTTCTAGACCAGAAGTATGTTCAAGGCATCGTTCAACTCTGCCCAGTCCACGGCATAGCCAATCCTTCCACCATTTCACCTAGAAAACTCAGGCTAAAGGCCTTGCGGAGAAAAGCCTTACCATCAGAACTCAGGCACAAGGAGTAGCACAAAACCGAAGAATTTCTTGCAGTCAGTCCCTGCTTTGTCCAGGATTCTCCTGTTTTGGAAGCAAAGCCGAAGGCTTGGGTGCAATTTGTTTTCTTGTTTGGAATGCCCACGACAGATTCAAAATTCCTGAGTTCACCTCGTTTCCTCAGCTGTTTACATCATCGACCGTACCTGGAGATAGATAAAATGCCGTTTCACGCAGCATACTAAGTTTGCGCAGGTTCTTGAGACCTGCAACATTTGCGGTGATGTGATGGAGGAGTTCCAACTCACAAGACCCGAAACGTTGGAACTGTGCCCTCCCGGCAGGCTGTTCGCCTCATCAAGACCTTGCCGTGCACCCTTGTCAGCATACAAAGAGCGTTATGGCTTTTTGGATTGCAGTAGATCAGAATTTGCTTGTGACATCTTGTGACTATTTCTCTTTGTCACTTGGTTCTCTTTGTTTCTGCGTTGAATAAATCAAATCCTGTGGTTGGGTGCTGGCCTTTGCATTTGTTTGCGCTTGTGCTCTTATGAATGTTACCACACTGTTTTTGTCTTGTGCAATTGTGCGCGCAAACATGCAGGCCTTGCACGCTAACTATTCCCTTTCTTGTCAAAGGAAGTTTAGTGTACGAAACTTCCGTTACGGACATTCAAGATCTGTTCATCCACCCATCAATACGCCACTCATCAATACACCACTCCATCATACACCACTCATCATACACCACTTATCATACACCACTCATCATACACCACTCATCATACACAACTCATCAATACACCACTCATCAATACACCACTCATCAATACACCACTCATCA